GAGGGAGTTTGTCCTTTGTGGCTATTTTGACTACTGCTTCTCTGAGCAACCTTGTACACGTCTTGTGGGGCCCATGTGCATGTATTTCTGTTGTGCATAGACCTAGGAGTGGACTTGCTGGGTCATAGGGCAGGCGTATGCGGCACTTTAGGACATGCTATTACCCAGTTTTATAAAGTGATGGCACAGCTTCCCTCCCACCTGCAGGGCGAAGGCTTCAGCTGCTCCACATCCTATAGGCTTTCTATTCCCATTTTGCAGCTGGGGAAGACCAAGAGGTAAAGTGCCTTGTTCCAAACACAGCTAGTGAGTCATAAGACCAGGATTCCTCCACTCATTAAACCTCAGATATTGGCTGAGCTCCAACTCTGTGCCAGCCCCATGCTGTGGGCTGGGGGGACATTTGCACCCTGATGCACGTGGTCCATGCCCTCATAGAACTTCTTGTTGGGCTGAACTGATTTTGAACTTAGATCTGTTTGAAGCCAACATTTGTGCTTTTCCACTTTGTCAGCCTTTCTCTATACTCTCTTGGAGCTCAGACAAGTGCTTGGCACATAGTATGTGCTCAATAAATATGAGTTAAATGAATGAGGAAATGGCAAATCTCGATACGGTTCCCCCCCACCACCACGCCTTGCCCCTGCATTGATGAGCACATCTATGGATGGATGTCTGGTTGCAAAATACAGGAAAAGAGTGTTTTCTCTGGTATTTCTGGGTATATTTATTCTCAGGATGGGCCTTCATCAGGCCTGACATCAGGAACCCAAGCTCAGGGCCCAGGCAGGTGGACCTCTGCGCTCTTCACAGCTAGAATTTGTATGGAGGAGGACGGGTCATCCACGGGGCCTATGGTAAAGGTTTCTGGGGCAGTGGAAAGAATCCATGCTCTGGGAGAGGCTTAAAGTCCCAAGATGTGGAATCTCCTTCTGATCATCAGTCGGCATTTGGAAGACATTCAAGCCTGGCATAGGAGGGCTGGCCAGACTCACAGCTGATTGAGTTGATGAGCAGCAGCTTGCCCTGTAAGGAGAAGAGGCAGCGTCAGTCACCAGTGTGCCATCCCCTCCAACCCCCAGGGCCACACTGAAGGGGATTCTCAGCCAGTCTTGTTGACCGAGGGCCCATGCCCAGAGCAGTCACACTATAACCCTTTCCAAATGATATCTAATTATTCGCTTCTTGTTGTCTTCCATTCACTAGACTGTGAGCTCCTGAAGGTGGGGACTGTATCTGTTTATCTGCAATTAGATTGGGATGGTCTCAGGTTTCGGTGGGGCCAGTGCTCCCTAAAGGCCTGAGTGGAGATCTTAGGAGATGCTACAGTCTCTGATAACCGGAGGTTTGGGTGACTTGGCGGGGCCCAGTCAGCTTGTAGGGGTCCTCTCTGCTGTCCTAGCTCTCTTGGGGAATAGTAATGGTCATCATAATGTGGTCACCTCTAAGTGTTCTCAGGACATGTGCAGAAACGCCTCAGCAGGCCTCACTGGGGGCCCCTTTTGGGGACCTCTTCCGGCCACTTGCCCACCCCGAGTCCTCCTTTGTGGATGGATGCAGACACTCACCCATGAGGCTTTTCAACAGTTTCACATCCAGCTGCCTGGGGATTTCACTGATCAGAGGACATACCTGGACCACCAGCACAGAGAGAAGGGTCAGGTCAGGGACTGGGAAAAGAAAACTACAGGGCCTGTGGCTGGAAGCTTAGATGCCATTGCATTTCCACATGGAATCATGGCAAGAGTGGCTTGGCTTCCTTGTATTGAGCACCAACTGCATGCTAGGGACCACGCACAACACTTGCATGTTTAATCTCCCTGAACCTTCATGACATCTCCATGAAATAGGGGTTGTGATGGTTTCCTTGCAACAGATGGAAAAATAGATGCTCAGGGAGTCTAAGTCAGTTGCCTGAGGACACACAGCCAGTAGATGGCAAAACTGAAACTTTTTAATTGAAATCTTTCAGGTTCTGAAGCCCAAGGTTTGAAACTCTTTTCCAAATGGCCAATATATATGTTCAAGACCCTCAGACTGAAGGATGCCCAAGGAAAAAAATATTTTCCTTAAACTTACCTGAATTTCTAACAGGTGTGGGAGAACTTTTCCCAGATTTTCTCTAAAATCATGGAGAAAATGTTTCATATTTGGTGGCATATCTCTAGAAAAAAAGGCAGCTATAGGCTAGGTTCTATGTGTTGAGTACACCTCACATAGTCCTTTAACCCTCAGCCAGCCCTATGTAAGAGGCATCATTGTCAGCAGTAGTCAAAGGGGCAATTCAGAGAGGTGATGCGATTTGCCCAAGGTCACACAGCTAAGTGTTGATTAGATTAGAACCAGGTCAGCAGAGCTCCAGAATCCACAGTCTTTCCCTTGCGCTGTCTTCTCCATGAATGTCTGGCAAGGCCTGGGTACCCAGTGAACATCTGATGAATAAATGAATGGATACCCACTGAGGACTTAGTTGTTTTCAGCATTCTGAAACTACAGAAAGAAATCAGACACAAATCTTGCCCTTGAGGAATCCACAGCCTTTTGGAGTTGACAGATTTGGTCAGGCGGGGCCTAGATCTCCATTTAGCTCTATTTTTCCTCTCTTGCTCACTGCTGTATCCCTAGCGTGAAGCGTGCTGTGCCTAGCACATCGTAAGGTCTCAGTAAATATTTGTTGAATGAATGAGTGATGAGGAGGAGCTTTAGAGAAACAGGGGAGGGCATCCCAGGCAAATGATCCACATGTGCAAAGGCATGGTGGTGTGAAAACACATGGTGTTTTGATTTAGAGGTGGGTTCTTCAGAGAGACTCAGGTCAAAGCGCTGCAGATGGGGCAGGGGAGAGGGAAAGAAGGGCCTTGGGTGACATCCAGGAGTTTGCTCTTCATCTAGAGGGCATTGGAGAACCGTTGGAAGGTTTGGAGCAGGGGCTGGGGTTCATGACTAGATTCCTGTGCTAAAAAGTTAATTCTGCTGCAGAAGGAGAATGGAATGAAGGAGATGAGGTCCAGTCAGGGAGAGCCGGAGGAGGCCCTCTCAATGTTCCAGGAAGTGGCCGTGAGCCGGGACAGTCACTGTGGGGATGAAGAGAAGGGAGCAAGCGGGGGCTTCCAGGAAGCCACTGATGGGAGCTCGTGAAGATGGGCTGCGGGAAGTGAGGAGGAGGAAGAGTCTGGTTTCTGGGAGGGTGGCAGGGCCATCACTGGGAGGGGAAGCAGGAGAAGCAGATCCTGGGGAAAAGTGAGATCTGTTTGGGGCTTGTAGGGAAAATAAAGTCGGTCAGGCTACCTCACCCGGCCATCCTGCGGAAGCGCCGGAATGATCGGCCGGGTTCAAAAGCTGGAGTGTTGTGCAGGCATTGTCGTCCTGCTGATGTCACTGTTTGTGTACTCTTATGTAAGCACTTCGGCTATGAGCCACTATTGGCCCCACACAGTATAAAGCCCGGCCACTGTGGAAGGCGGGTGGTACCTAGAGAGCCTGTGAATAAAGCATGTCTACTCTGCCTTCAGCTCCACACTTCTTCTTCCAGCTCCCAGAGTCGCACACACCTTATACCAGGGCCACCACGCACTCAGACACTGCACAGCGAGCAGGGGTCTCGGTCAGGTAAAGGAGTCATCCACGCCTGGACAGGAGGACATGTGGCTGGTACACAGCGTGTGGTAGCTGGTGTGATGAGCTGGGCCCCCCTGCGGGGATGGGGAGATGTGAACGGTTCTCCAGGCAGCATAGAGAAAGCCTTACAGATTTTAAGTGAACAGCTGCCGGAGAAAAGGAAAGTCACTGCCGGCCGTGTAAGCTGGGTGTTTCTCACCATCCTGCGCCACAACATGGAGGAGGCACTTGCTGAAGCAGCCCAAGTGTGGGACTTGGAGTCCCAGGAAGAAGCACTGGAGGCTTGGGTTTGCCAGTTAGAAGCGGAGTTCTGCTGGAGGGGGTCTGAGGCAAAGGCCCCTCCGGAGTCCCCAGCGGAAGCCGCGGGTGGAAGTCGTCTCTCACCCGCAGGTTCGGACCATCGTGCATCAGAAGGTAAAACATGAACAACCTTTGGGCCCTTGGGGCATTGCTGCTGGCAACCCAGTGGTGACTGAGTTCACAACCTGTACCCTCTACGCTCCCACCAAGTTACGGGAACTGGGGAAGCAGTGTCGACAACGCCCCTGGGAGCCGATCCCAGCATGGTTGCTGCATTTGTGGGATGAGGGGGCAGACACCATCATCTGCGCTGCAGGTGAAATAGAAAAACTAGGCTTCATAACGGTGCATCCGTCCCTGTGGCAGCGGTCGCAGAACAGCCGCCAGCTGGCCCAAGGCCAGGGTAACCATTCCGTGATGGAGTGGCTCACTGCTGCAGCGCGCACAGTGTGGGCTGATGCAGGTGAGCTGCCAGAAAATGTTAGCAAATGGCAGTCTTACGCCGAACTTGTTCAAATTATCCGTGAAATGGGTATGAGACATGCTACATTTGATCTTAATACGCAAGGGCCAGATGATGAGCGGTTTATGGCCAGCATGAGAGATTTGGTTTTAGATACCGTCTCCGCAAGTGACTTTGGATTATTGGTCGCCATACTTGCGCCCTATGTGGGGCGGCAGATCCACGAAGTTACCACCGTCATGTCCACCCTGAGAGATATCGAAAGCCGGAGGCGGGGGAAGTTAGGACGCGAGGTCTGTGAAATCACAACCAGGAAGCCCAAAGCAGAAGCATGGAGAGTCAAACCCGAGGGCCTCAAATGGTAACGCGCACGCAAATGTGGAATGACCTCATAGCAGCGAGTGTCGATTGGGAAAAATAGGCCGACAACCCAACACGGTCTTATTGGAATTCTGGAGACAGTTGTGTCTGGAGCAATAATTCTGGGAAAAACCCCAAGGGGAAGTCCGGGAAGATGCGACCCGTGGCCCTCCAAGAATTCATGCGACCACCTGAGGCCAGCTCCTTCCAGTTTGACTAGGGGAGGGGCCAAGGTACCCAATTGGAGGGGACGAGTAGGGACCGGAGGCCCCACATGGGACAGTCCTTACATTGGTCCCCTTCTAATGTTCAGAGGGTTCTGGCCCTGGTTGACACCAGCTCGGACTGCAGCATTATTTACGGGAACCCAGAAAGTTTCCCTGAAACAGCAATCTACATTGACGGTTTTGGGGGAGGGGTGAGGATGGGCGGGGAGGACTGCTAAGGTTAAAGCTGTCTCCTTACTTCTGGGTATAGGTAGACCTCCCCCCCGTCTCCCCCGCCCTACCTACACGGAGTATGTCTCCTCCATACCGGAATATTCTAGGGGTGGATGTGTTACATGGCCTCAGTTACAGACTTCAGTCGAATTCGGCCTTCTGGTCCCAGTGGTGAAGGCAGTGGCACATGGGCATGCTCACCACCCACCTCAAGTATTGCTGTGGCCCTGGTGTGTGGTTACAGTGTGACAGTACTGCCTTCCCGGGGAACATGAAGAGATTGGCCGTATGATATTAGAACTGGAGAAGGCACACATTGTGAGGCCAACACACAGCCCATTTAATTCCCCGGTATGGCCAGTGAAGAACCTGATGGGACCTGGCGAATGACTGTGGATTATAAGGAATTGAACAAGGTGATGCCACCTTTCCATGTTGCAGTGCCTTCGATCCATGATTTGATGGACCGCTTGAATATTTGCCTGGGAACGTACCACTATGTGGTGGACCTGACGAATGCTGTTTTCTCTATTGACTTTGCGCCTGAGAGCAAGGAGCAGTTTGCTTTTACTTGGGACGGGCATCAGTGGACCTTCCAAGTCCTCCCACACGGATAGTTACACTGCCCCTCTGTTTGCCATGGGCTTGTAGCCCAGGATTTGGCACAATGGGACCACCCATCCTCTGTGGCTCTTTTCCACTATGTTGATGAAGTCTTACTAGCTTCTGATTCTCTTTCAGATTTCGAGCAAGCAGCTCCCTCTCTCCTCTGCCATGTGAAGAAGTGTGGCTGGGCGGTAAACAAGGAGAAGATCCAGGGCCCTGGCTTATCTGTCAAGTTTTTGGGTGTTGTTTGGTTGGGTAAGACAAAGGTTATACCCGAAGCTATTATTGATAAAATACCGGCATTTCCCCTGCTGACCAAGGTCTCCCAACTACAAATGTATTTGGGCCTGCTGGGGTATTGTACCCCATTTAGCACAGATGACAAGGCCCTTAAATGGTGAAGAAGGGTACACCCTGGAATTGGACAGAGGCTATAGACCAAGCATTTGTTGCTACAGAACAGGCGATACAGCAGGCACAGGCTCTACAAGTGGTAGACCCTGGTCGCCCATTTGAACTTGATGTTCACATAACCCAAGAGGGGGCCTCTGGCAATGGCATGAACGTCTCCAGTCCCCAGTGGGGTTTTGGTCCCAATTGTGGAAGGGGGCGGAAGTTCTCTACTCTCTGATAGAAAAACAAAGGGCCGCCGTGTACACGGCTTTGGTGGCCACAGAAGCCATCATGGGAACGACAAGGGTGTTGGTTGGCACAACGTATCCCGTCCAAGGTTGGGTTCGTACTTAGACCTAAGGACCCAAAACAGGGGTGGCACAAACCACCACCTTCGCCAAGTGGGGGGTCTACTTGGAATAATGTAGCACCCTCAGTTCCAAGCTGTTTGAGCGCAGAGCTACAACAAATCCTGGGGCCTATTGAGCTTGTACCTCAGGCTGTGCCAAGCGCTCTACCCACTGGGGAGGACTTGGAGCCATTGCCCTACAGAGAAGGACAGCCCCCAGTACCTGAAGATGCCTGGTATACTGATGGCCATGTGGACAGCTATTGGAGTCCAGCCCAAAACAGATACCATTTGGTTTGATACTGGGGTGGGCCAGAGTAGCCAGTGGGTCGAGCTACAGGCTGTAAGGATGATAATCAGCCATGAGCCTGGTCATTTGTACAGACAGATGGGCCATGTTTCGGGGCCTAATGTTATCGCTCCCCACATGGAAGCACCAAAGCCTGCTAGTTGGACAATGTCCACTGTGGGGTCAGGCCATGTGGCAAGATCTCTGGGACCTAGGGCAAGGAAAGGAGGTGACCTCGATACATGTCGTGGGTCACTCCCCCTTCATGTCTCCAGGCAACAATGAAGCAGATGCCTTGGCACGGGTTTGGTAGTGAGAATGCGCCCCCACCACTGATGTAACCCATTTTTGCATAGAAAGTTGTAACATGCTGGTAGCAGAACCATGTGGCAGGTGAGCAGATGCTGGAGGCTGCCCTTGAAGTGGCAGGAGGTAGCAGATGCCTGCCACAACAACTGTGTCATCTGTGCTCAGGACAGTCCCCAACGGCAGGAGCTCCCCCGGGAGACACAGCAACTGACGTGAGGGAGGGTGACCCTCACCCTCTGGCAAGTAGAGTCCCCTGCCTAAAGCCTGAAATGCCACTTATGCCTTCACAGCAGTGGATACGGTTATGGGGCTATTGTTGGCTTGACCGTGTCTGGCTGCGGATCAGTGGAATACGGAGGCTGCTCTTACACGGCTGTGTGACCTCTACAGGTGCCCCCAAGTCATTGAAAGTGACAGGGGCACTCATTTTACGGGGCAAGAAGTGCAGCAATGGTCTGTCAGAATGGACACACAATGGTTGTTCCACACCCCGTACAATCCACAGGCAGCTGGTATGATTGAATGCTACAACGGCCTTTTGAAGCAAGGCCTTCGGGTGTCAAACACACTCCCACAATGCACGACTGGGTCTCGCGTCTATGGGATGTTTTGAGAGTCTTGAATGAGAGGCCACAGAAGGGAGGGCCCTCACCAGTGGAGGCTCTGTTACGTCGAACAGCCGCTCCCATAGAACCACAGGTCACTACAAGCGAGACCGTGTTAAAATCGGGATATGGCAGAAATGGGAACATCTAGTTACCAGTGCCCACATGCTTGAAAGCAGGAGAACGGCTACAATGGACTTGGCCCTGGCAGGTCAAAAGCCCCCACTATAGTTGGCTGGGCCTGGTGGCCCCATGGGGGGCTGGTTTGACCCATGACTTACAAGTGACACCAGGGGTGGTGGCTGAGTGGCCACTGCAAGTGACAGTGGAATATGGAGGTCCCGATAGAGGGACGATTTTGCAAGGGACCTTTGTGCTCTCGCTGTGGCCTATTATGGGGTCCCCTGTCCTGCTACACGTTAACACCCTGCAAGGGACCCGAGGCACTGCCATAAAGGTATGGTACCACAAACCGGAAAAGGTGCCGGTAGCAGCAACCCTCCTCTCCCAGGATAAAAAGCTAGCATGTAACGTATCCTCCCAGATGGAAGGGACTTGCCACTGTTGGTTCCTATGACTACTATTTCTTTCCACCCGTAGATGCCTATGGGCTATTACAATAGTGGACTGGGCCCATACCTATGCCAGAGTAGCCAACGTCTCCAGCTGCTGGGTTTGTACGGAGTTTCCAGTCAGCACCACGGCAGGGCTACCGTGGAGTATCTATCCAGCTACAATGGAAAACTGGACTTTGTTGCAAGAATGGAACCCTTGGCAAGAGGTCTGGGCACAACCTGGTGACACGCCCTCTCTTGCATGAGGGCGCAGAGAAACCGCACCAACCTGTGGCTAAGCCATGAGGTATGGGACGGATGGGGGTGGCTCATGAGTGAAGGTGTGGAGCTCACCCAGGTCGTTCCTCAGTGTTTGGAATGACAGACCGGCAACAGAGACGTGCTGGGTGCCTGTGGCCTTATGCCAAAACATAACCCGAGTTCCCAAAGGTTGTTTGTGGGAATGGCTGAAGGCAACAGGGGTTAGCCCCCACCATTTTTGTCCCAGAAGGGAGCCTGTGGGCTTGTGGCTTATATGGCTGGTCCTACCTCCCTGCCAATTGGACACGGCGTTGTACGTGCGGGTGGCCATACCTCCCGGCTAGCATATGACCCACATTTAGTGTGTCATTCAAAGCCAAACACTACTGCATCAAAAGGACACCCTGGTGGTTTTATCCCCTGGCTGTCTTTAGCTTCCAGGCCAATTCCATTTTGGTGGAAACACAAGTAACTGCTTTTGTGGAGCACACTGCCTGAGCCCTCAACCAAGCCCATCAGGCCTTGGGCCTCCTCATGGAGGAGGCCGACCAAATGAGAAAGTAGTCCTCTATAACCAGATTGCTTTGGACATTTTAAGTGCTGCCCAAGGAGTTAAAATGCACCATCGTGCATACAGAATGCTGTGTGTATATTGCAGATAACAAAAAAAATGTAAGCCAGGTGCTTTCTGCCCTAGCTAAAGAGATCGATGGCATTCAATGCCTGACAGGAAACCCTCTACAGGAACGGTGGGCTCAACTTTCCTCCTCCTGGAGGTGTGCCCTTGCCCTTATGGGAGGAAGGGCTGATCTCCTGTGGCTTTCCACTGTTGCTTGTATTATTGTTGTGGGCTCTGGGTACAGGGCTCTGCCCTGCTTTCGTGGAGGCCTGGGATGAAGACCCCAGCCTGAATGGGCAAACAGACCAGCGTGGAACCCTGAAGGGGTGTAGTGTATGGAAAATAAAGTCGGTCAGGCTCCCTCACCTGGTCACCCAGCGGAACTGCCATGGCGATCCGCCACTGGACAGAAGATGGAGTGTTGCCCAGGTGCGTTCGTTGTCCTGCTGATGTCACTGTTTGTGTACTCTTATGTAAGCACTTTGGCTATGAGCCACTATTGGCCCCGCACAGTATAAAGCCTGTCCACTGTACAAGGCAGGTGGTACCTAGAGAGCTAGTGAATAAAGCATGTCTACGCTGCCTTCCGCTCCATGCATCTTCTTTCAACTCCCCGAGTCGTGGACACCTAACACCGAGACTAACACAGACTCGCACAGGGCTCATCCAGGAGGAGGTGGAGACGTGGAGACGTGTAGTCACAGCTACGGTGGGTCAGGAAGGGCCCCAGCCCTGGGTTTCGGGGGAGAGGGGGCGGGGCAGCTGGGACCTTACTCAGTCATGACTGTCGTGTGCATGCTGCAGGGCTCCACGTGGCAATTGCCTATCACCAGATCCCTCTGGCCAAACTCGTCTTTCTCCAGCCAGGACTCCACAGCGAGGTTCATGCGTGCATCTGTCTTTGCAATCTTGTTATTGAAATGCCTCCTGGGGATGAGAGAGAGAGGAGAAGGAGGGGAGAGGGCAGGAGGCAGAGAAAGGTAGGAGGTGGACACAGCCAGTGTGAAGCGTGGCTCTCCACGCAGATGGCAATGTCCACACTCTGAGTCCTTTCAACAAACCAGCCCAGTGTTGCCTGCATGTTAACTCCTGCAGTCAGTCATTGAGGAGAAAACTGCTCTTAGCCAGAGTGGCTTCAGGAAATCCTTTAAATAGACCAGATTTGGAAATTCAAAAGTTGAGAATTCATCTTATTTTTAATATTTTTACCATTTAGCTATGGCCTTCCTTTCTTTGGGGGCAGTGGAGGTTAAAGGACAGTTTGAACAGCAGAAGGGAAAGGTGATGAGATACAGTGTTTCTCTTTTTAAAATCACTGTAGTGAACTCACATAAGTTTCAATGAGCAAATGACCTGCCTCCACTGATCAATGATTGCCATTCACATTTTAGCTGAAGGAACCAAGACTCAGAGATGTAAGTGACTTGCCCAAGGTCACATAGGGAGTGAGTTTGAAAATGAGGATTTGAAGCCAGGTTGGCATGAGAAAGATCTGGGTTCTGCCAAATTCACCCCCAGCGCCCAGGTTCCCAGTGAGGAGGAAGAGCCCATCTCAGACCTCACTTCTGTAAGACTCACAGTCTCAAGTCAATGTCGAATTCAAGTGAGATGTTTGCCAAGAACCACTCCTTATGGAAAGATACCTGGATTCCACATCTCTCCATCATCATTTTACCCACTCATCCATTCATCCACCCATCCACTTCTCCAGGCCAGTCCAGACCTAGTCCCTGGGTGAGATTACGATGAATAGGCTTTGAGTTCCATCTCTGGAGCCAGCACTTTTAATTTATTAACTAACATCTGTCTCTCCTTATCTAGGGGCTGTCGGGATATGAATTATGTCCCAGTGAGGCTTCCAGTGCACCCCGACCAAGGAAAACGAGAACCCCTCTTTTTATTTAAGAACAGATAAGGTAAGAGTTTCGTGAATCCTTAGTAGGTAGGGACAGCTCTACCCGCCTTCTCAGCTTGAAGCAAATACAGAAGAGACCTCCCATCCCTCAACTCCCCACAGAGATTCAAGGGGACCACGTCTCTCGGGAAAAATAGGGCAGGCAGTTAAAAATAGGTAATTGGATCTCTGTATTCCTGCATGTTGAACACAACCTACGGGGAGCACTACCTGGAAACCTCCCAAATTCTTTCCTTGTCTTCTTTAAGTATTAACCACTGGTAAAGGCCACCACGACCTCCATCTCACCCTAGCCTCATTATACCATCACTATAATCATACATATGCCCAGAAGTTCATTAATATTATAATAGACAGAACTCTGGGAAAGGACATATGCAGTCTAAGAGGATAAGGTAATAGCCCCTTATTAATCACAGGTGTCAATCAAGCGGTCCTGCTCCTGGAGAGGAACAGCCTATTCTAGAAAAAAAAAGATATAACCCCTAGCGGCTGCCCCTTGAGCCTTTTGAGCCTTGCTTTTGCTCAGGGCCTGCTCCAAACACTGTGGAGTATACTTTTGCTTCTAATAATGGCCTCCTGAGCCCTTTGAGTGTTTTGAGTCTTGCCTTTGTTTGGGGCCCATTCCAAACCCTTTGGAGTGTACTTTGTCTACTAATAATTCCATCCACCTTGAGCTGCTTTTCTTTGTGCTCGGCCTGCTCTTAATTCTTTGGAGTGCACTGTCTTTTCTAATAAATGTTTTTTCACCGCTTTACCTCTGTGTCTATTTCACTTCTTTGCTCGAGACGTCAAGAACCTGGATACCGCGTCAGGAGGGCCCAACCCCTGGCAACGTGGTGGCTGTTTCCCAGTTTTCCTCCGAGGCCCAGGTTCGGTGTGAGAGCTAAGCCTGGACATCTCACCGAGAAAGGCCCCTCTCTCCGGTAACACTTACACTAACATTTACTCATTGTTTATCTGAAATTCAAACTTCACTGAGTGTCTTGTGTTTTTATTGGTAAACCTGGCAGCCCAACTTTAGGCACCAAGCACTTAATAGCATAAGACAATTGGGTGTAATGGGGCTTGGGGGAAATGGTGAATGCATTTGTAATCAGCACCCAGTTGGAGAATAATCAGCATTTAAAGTGATTTAAAGTAAAAATGAAAAACAATGTGCCAGATTTGGCTAAAGGCTCTGGAATTTGCAACCCATGGCAAAGAGTTTGGACTCTAGAGTTTGACTCTCAGGAGTCAAATCCTGGACCCACTGCTTACAAGTTGTATGACCTTGTGCCTTAGTAGCCTCATTTCTGTGAAGATTAAATAAAATCTTACATATTAAAAAAGAGTTTTATTAAAATATAGCTAACATACAATATTATATTAGTTTTAGCTGTACATCATAATTATTCAACAGTACCCCCATGGCACTATACACAGTTGTTACCATATTATTGATATAGTCCCTTTGCTAAAGCAGTGATCCCCATGTTAAGTCCAGCAACAATCTGACACTGCACCACATTATCACAATATCATTGACTATATTTCTATGCGGTATATTACATCCCCAAGGCTTCTTTGTTTTATCTGGAACGTTGAACCTGTGTTCCTCTTTAGCTCCCCCACCCCCACTTTTAATTTTTCAATTAGAGTTGACATTCAATATTATTTTATATTAGTTTCAGGGTTACAGCATAGTGGTTAGACATTTATATAATTTAGGGAGTGATCCCCCTGACTAGTACCCACCTGGCACTATGCACAGTTATTACCATATTGTTGATTATATTCCTTATACTTTACATTGTCATGACTATTTTGTACCTACCAATTTGTATTTCTTAACCCCTTCACCTTTTCCCCCTCCCCGCAGCCCCCTCCCATCTATCACCCTGATAGACCTAGTACCCATCTGACACCATACATAGTTATTACAATATTATTGACTATATTTCTTCTGCTATACCCTACATCCCTATGACTACTGTGTAACAGCCAATTTGTACTTCTTAATCCCTTCCCTTTTTCAACTACCTCCAACCCTCCTCCCATCTGGCAACCATCAAAATGTTCACTGTATCTATGGGTTTGTTTCTGTTTCATTTGTTTACTTTATTTTATGTTTTTAGATTCCACTTATAAATGAAATCATATAACATTTGTCTCTCTCTGCCTGACTTACTCCACTCAGCACAATACCTGCTAGGTCCATCCATGTTGTCCCAGATGGCAAGATTTCATTCTTCTTTACAGCTGAGTAATATTCCATTGAATGTATGTACCACCTGTTCTTTATCCATTCATCCATTCAGAGACACCCAGGCTGCCTGCATATCTTGGCTATTGTAAATAATGCTGCAATGAACATATGGAAGAGCATGTTCCCTTGGAGTAGCATTTTGGGTTTGTTCAGATAAATACCCAGAAGTAGGATTACTAGGTTCTTCTTTGTCTCTTGTTATAGTCTGTGTTTTGAGTCTATTTTGTATGGTATAAGTATTGCTACTCCAGATTTTTTGTTTGTTTGTTTGTTTGAAATCTCTTTTTCCATCCCTTTATTTTCAGTCTGTGTGTCTTTTGATCTGAAGTGAGTCTTTTGTAAGCAACATACGTAAGCGTCTTTTTTTCTTATGCATTCAGGTCCCTTATTTTTTTATCGGAGCATTTCATCCATTTCCATTGAAAGTAATTGTTGATAGGTATGTAATTATTGCCATTTTATTATTCATATTTTTAATTATTATTATTTTTTGTCTTAAAGATGTCCTTCTAAGATTCCTTGTAATACTGGTTTGGTGGTGATGAACTCCTTTAGCTTTTTCTTGTCTGGGAAGCTCTTTACCTGTCCTTTGATTCTAAATGATAGCTTCGTTGGGTAGAGTAATGTTGGCTGTAGGTCCTTGCTTTTCGTCACATCGAATGTACCAATCCCTTCTGGCCTGCCAAGTCTCTGTTGAGAAATCAGCTGATAGTCTTATGCGAGCTCCCTTGTAGGTAACTAACTGCCTTTCTCTTACTGCTTTTAAGATTCTCTCTTTGTCTTTAATCTTTGGCATTTTAATTATGATGTGTCTTGGTGTTGTCCTGTTTGGGTTCATCTTATTGGGACTCTCTGCGCTTCCTGGGCTTGTATATCTATTTCTTTCACCAAGTTAAGAAACATTTCTGTCATTATTTCTTCAAATAGGTTTTCAATCCCTTGCTCTCTCTCTTTTTCTGGTATGCCTATCATGTAAATGTTGGTATGCTTGAGGTTGTCCCAGAGGCCCCTTAAATACTGCTCAATTTTTTGGATTCTGTTTTCTTTTTGCTGTCCTGATTGGGTGTTTTCTGCTACCTTATTTTCTAAATCACTGGTTTGATCCCCTGCTTCATCTAATCTACTGTTGATTCCCTATAATGTATTCTTCATTTCCATTATTGTATTCTTTACTTCTGACTGGTTATTTTTCATGTTTTGTAGCTCCATTTTTATATTTCTTCTCTCTCTGTTGAGGTTCTCCCTGAGATCATTGAGCATCCTTATAACAGTGTTTGGAATGCTGCACCTGGTAGATTACTTGTCACCATTTTGTTTAGTTTTTTTCTTGAGCTTTGTTCTGCTCTTTTATTTGGGACATGTTTCTTTGCCTCCCCATTTTGGCTGCCTCCCTGTGTTTGTTTCTATGTATTAGGTAGGGTTGCTATGTCTCCCAGTCTTAGTAGAGTGGCCTTATGTAATAGGTGTGCTGTGGGGCTCAGTGGCTCAGTCTTCCTGGTCACCTGAGCCACACACTCTAGGTATGTCCCTTGTGTGAGTTGTGTGTGCTCTCTTTTTGTAGTTGAGCCTTGGTTGCTATTTGCACATCAATGGGAGGGATTGAGCCTCGGCTCACTGGTTGTGAGTTCTGGCCTTGACTACAGTGGAGGAGTTGTGGTGCAGGGGTTGACACTACAGAGCAGGGTCTACCTCAGCAGGGCTCTAGTGACTGCTCAATCTGTCCCTTGGGTGTGTCATTTTGGAGGCAGCTGGGTAGTGCTCCAGCTTGTCAGAAGTTGGCCACTGGAGTTGCCATCCCCAGGGCCACCTGGGAGGGGACCCACTGCAGGTCAAGTTCAGCCACAGCCCATGCCTCACCCAGGGCCAACTGACAGGAGCCACAAAGAAATCCTCCGATGTCCACCCCCCATGTCGTGCTTGGAAGTGCCTTGATAGGCCAAGCTGAGAACCAAGGCCGGCTGCCGCTAGTGCTTGGCTTAGGGCTGCTCAGCCAAAGAGGTACAGGACATGCTCAAGCCAGATGCTGCTTGTCTGGGTTCTGTGAGTTTTTAAGAGACCCTAGGAAAGTATGGTGCATGAGCCAAGGCAGGCATTTTATATGAAAAAGCCACTGGAAGGGGCTTGGGTGTGCCCAAAAGTTGGGCAGGGCAGGGTCTCAAATCACCAGGGTGTAGCCAGCTTGATGGGGACTCAGATATGGTGGCCACCTGTGTCTGCCTGCTGGGAAGGGGCAGGGCTCAACAAAGAAACAATGGCCTCTGCCAGCTCCTCTGTCCAGGAGAAAGCAGCCCCTCCAGCCCCTGTCCTGAAGCCAGACAACTCAGTCCCCCACCATATGTTCCTGCCATCTCTCCAGCTGCTGCCCTTAGTGCTGGAACTCAGAGCCCGCGATTCCATCAGTGGGTAAGTCCATGCACGGTCTCTTTAAGAAGAGCAGCTGGGAGCGCAGCTGCTCTCTGTCTCACTCAGTCACAAACTCCACTGGTTTACACAGTCAGAAATTATGGGGATTTCTCTCCCCAGCCCTGGAACTCTGGGCTGCGGAGAGGGTGGTCTGGGGGGGACCTCCACAGCCAAGATATCTCTCCCAATTTTTAATGGTCACACACGGATGTGGGACTAGCACATTCTGCATCTCTGACCCTCCTACCAGTCTCAAGGTGGCTTCTTCTGCCTGTCCTTAGTTATAGGACCTCGGTTCAACAAGATTTGGGGCATTCTCAGTGATAGTTGTTTTGTAGTTTAGTTATACTTTTGATGTTGAAGGTAGTTTAGTTGTAATTTTGATGTTGAGAGAAGGTAAGCACAGCATTTAGCTACTGCACCATCTTGACCAGAAATCCTCTAAAATCCTACATTTAAAGGGCTTAACAAAGCTCTGAGCCCACCATTGATGCTAAATAAATATTAATCTTCCAGATGACTGCTGGGTTGCCATGCAACAGCTCCCTCTAGTGGTGATAGGACATATGTACGAATGCTGGTGCAAGGCTAGGATCCTAGAGGTGTTGGTTCAGGGTATCCATCAGATAGGCTAGTCAGGCATTGGAGGACAGGTCCCCAAGCTCCCTAGATAAGTCATTCACATGTCACCTCCACGATTTGTGCCACATACCAGCCACCATTACCTTTATTTACGAATGATTCTCCTTTAAGTGGTTTCCTTATCTTTATAATAGGAAATCTTACAATTTTCAATTAAAAGCTCCATCATCAATTTTCAGAAATAGAAGGTAACCACAAGGAGATACAAGTGAAACAGAAAAGTGTTAAGTTTCCCTGGATAATGTGGTGAGAAGAAGAATTGCAGATCTGTCTCTCTCTCTCTCTCTCTCTCTCTCTCTCTCTCTCTCTTTCTCTCCCTCCCCAATGATGAAATGAGGCTCAAATAATAATTTGCCTGAGATGCTATTCTGTAAAATGGTTGGCATGAATGATAATAGCAACTGTGTTTCTTGAGCTTGACTACATGCCAGACACTGTGATAGGCACATGTTTTATCTGCATTAGCTGATTTAATCCTCACAAAATCCCTCTGAGGTGGGGATTTTTGCAGATGAGGACACTGGGGCTCAGAATATCTGACCAATGAAATGTGAAGGAAGTGGTGCATGCCACTTTTGGCCTGGCTCTTCATGATGTCCTGCCTATCTTCCAGTCATCATTGCCCTGTCTTGCTGACGGTGGAGGCCATGCATTCCAGATGGTGTAGCTTCAAAATGAAACATGGAGTGAATGTGCGAGTGAAGAATTCAAGTTTATTGTGTTAGGCCACTGAGGTTCCAGGGCTCCTTTGTTACTGCAGCATAGTCTTATTCTGTTTTAACTAATATTGTGGAAATTTAGATTCCAATTTTAAAAAAATGAGCAAATTCTGAGAGGTTACTACTGATGATAATTAGTAAAAGAAGGAAATAGGGAGTTGGGAATAGGAAAGAGAATGAAAGCAAGTGGCAGAGAAGCTGCTGAGATTTTATGATGATGAGCTGGGAGAGGAGTCTGAGAGACAGTAGACCCAGGCCCTTGTGAGTAAGATGGTGTGTGCCGGGGGGAGGAGAAGGGGGTGAGCAAGAGAGATAAAACAAGTCAAGTTGTTGAAGTTTGAAATCAATGATCAAACAGAGATGTGAAGCATGTTGTAGGGGCAAGAACTCAAGCACATTTTCTCCTCCCCTCTGACTGACATTTAAGGCAAGTGTGGCTCTGAATGGCTGGTCATTGTGAGTGAATGACCTTCCTTCCTGCTTTCCTCCTGGGATGCCTCTGATAGGTAGGTAGGACCCTGGGCTTGATAGAGCCAGTGCCTGTCCCCTACTGTTCAAGAGCACCCATGGTTATGGTGATAACTGAAGTGACTTCACTCCACCTGGTGGATCAACTCCAGTCTTGGAAGATCTTTGACAATTGCCATGGGTGTCCCATGGAGTCTTTAGTAAACTTGGTAGAGTACAGAAGCAAATGGGACTGGACAAGGCAGGCTTCCAGAGCCCAGAATGATTTATTTATTGAATAAATAACTCCAAGATTACTGGAAACCTTTGGTTAATTTCAAGAGCTCTGAAGGAGTTAGTGCTAACTTTTCCCCCCTATTTTTCTTATTGCTCTTATGTAAGAGAGAATTTTCAAAGGCCTTTAACCTGCTGTTGTCACTGACACCCTCCTAAAGAGTTTTTAATAATTTGAAAATGTTGTCATTATTTAAAGTCATAAATATGTTCTGATTAACCTGGCCAACTCTCAGATTATTTTGTACCCAGGGGAGTTTTACACTAGTTAGTAATTGAAATTATTAGGGAAGGGGGAAGACTCGTCTGTGGGCTATAGGAAGAAGTCAAGGGAAGCAGTGGGAAAGTAGTATCCTGAGATGGGCAGTAGATGTGTGTCTAGGCAGGAATGCAGTTTGGTGTCACAATTAAGGGACAATAGGATGAATGCTGGTGGTCCCAGGTGTGTGTGCCTATCCTTATCCACCTTGATTTTGGGGGGCCTCAGCCAAGGGCACTCTTAGTCAACACTAATGCCTGCCCAGAAAAAGCATGAAGGTAATTAAAGCTTGGATTCTCCCCAACCCCCATCGGGTCCTGATTGCTGGTTTTGTCTGGATGGTCCTTTTGTACATCAGGTGACTGACTAGGTAGACATTCACAATGATCATGCAATTTTTTATGGAATTTAAGCACTCATCTTGAGCTCAAAGATATTCTGCTTCTGTGAGTGTGGAAGATGCTTCCTCCCTTCATTCCTCACCAAAAGACACAGGCTGATTTCCTACAATAAATCTTGCAGTTCTGAACTCTGGGACTGTCTTCCCATAATACCATGTTGGGTAGTAGGAACAACAGGTGGAGACAGTGGTGGGTTGGACATGATGACAGATGTTTGGCAGGGGTTGAAAAACACCAACCCAAATCAGCTCATTCTCACTAGGTCAATGAGGTCTCCCAAAGAGCAAGGGACAAAGTTTTCTGTGAAGCCTGGGATGCTTCAGTCCTCGATTTGCTTTTTGTCATTCTGTGACCTTCTGCAAGTCAATCACACACACCCCAATGCCTCAGTACCCTTACGTGTGGAGTGAAAGGGTTGGACTAGTCCTCTAGAGCTCAGAAAACAATAGTATATTTCTTTTTATCTGAGATGACAACCTTCCCCAGCCTGGGTAGCTCTGTTCTTCTTCCTTCTTGCACCTAATTTTTCATAAATTTTATGTGTGTTCACAGCCTCAACTTCCTTAAATCCCTTCTCTTCTCAGCTTCTTAAACTCAGCCTTTTTCCTCCAAAAATATGACTCTCACCCAGGGAATCAATAATCTTTTCACTTGCAACTCCAATGACCTTCTCTATGCCTACATATTTCAAGCCTTTCAGCAATGAACACTCTGGGCCAGTTTGTCCTTCCTCCTACAACTCCGCTTTGTCACCTTTATCATCCTCTTACTGTGAGAACAGAAAAGAGGTCAGTATTTACTGGATACAAGTAAACAAAGAGGAGCGGGAGATGACATGTGTATCCGTGCGCTTCCTGGACTTGCTTGGAGTTTCCCAGGCGCTTCCATGCAGTGTGGCCACAGCTGAAGACATAATCTTCCTGTTGGAATCAACTCATCCTCCCACATCGATGCGAGCTTCACTTGTTCCCTCACCTACACCGTTCCAGGTCCACCTCCTGGACTTCTCTCAAATCTGCCATTTTTACTTCTTGTGTATTAACCATTGTGTTATCATCTCTGCCTGGTTTGTTACATCTATCCCCAACCTCCTGTCCACCTGTCCTAAGGACCCAGAACAGTTACTCTGAAATCTACACTCATCTGAACATCTCCCTGTCCTGCTAAAGACCATTAAAGTCTCCGACATAAGGTCCAAATTCTGTTCTATGGCTCCCACCACCCAGGCCAGGGCTCTTTCCAGCCTACGAGTCCTCAAGTGATGGCGAAGAATGACAAGGCCTCAGTGCAGAGAAAGAGCAATTTTATTTGGTGAGGAACATGCAGTGTAGCGCATGCCTGGTGGGAAAGGATGGGGAGCAGCTTCCTTGGAGAGAAGGCTGCTCTGGTCTCCAAACAGTGGCTGTGTCATTGTCCAGAACATGGGCAGCCTTCTGTGAGTCCTCGGAAGCTGGGCAAGGAGTAGAAGAGCAGCGGGCAATGGTTCTGTTGGGAGAAGAGCCCAATAGAGTCTCAAGGTCACTGACTCTTGTTGGTATTGGCCCGTAATCAGACCCACCATCCAGAGGGAGAGGAGTCGGCTGAGACCTGTGGGCTAGGAGTCTTGTTTCAGCCACAGGGGAGCCCAGGCCTGGAGATGGGGGCTTCTTATGCATGTGTTTGAGTGAGTGTGTGTCTGTGTGTCCACGGACACTTGTGTGAGTTTGCATATGAGTGCACGTGTATGAGAGGGCTGGTGTGCCTCTGTCTGTCTGTCTGAGTGACCATGAGTTGGGCATTTGTGTGTGTGTGTGTGTGTGTGTGTGTGTGTGTGTGTGTCCCTGACCATGTGTTTCTATTTGTGACTGTGTTGCAGTGCCACCTGTGTCTCTCCACCTCTGTCAGCATTTCTGGGGACTTCACTGTGCACATCTGAGTTTGTCTGTGTGGCTGATTTTTTCTCTCTCTCTTTGGATATCTCTGTCCCAAGACCATTACTGCCCTCTACCAGGAGAAGAGGAACAGCCCCCAAGTCCTAGGAAGCAACACTGACCAGCTCAGCAGAGGACAGGTCCCTTCCTGGAAGACTTAGACCGTGAGGTCAATGTCCATCCCTTGGATCAGTCCCTCTGGAAAATTAAAAACAACCACCACAGACCTGAGTGACAGTCTCAGTGTGCAGGAATCTGAGGATACTGCACATTTCCCGCAAGGCCTGGAAATCCAACCAAGTTCAGGCAAGGCTTGGCGAGGGCAACGCCTCCTCCCACCAACCAGCCCGGCACTTCTCAGTATCAGGGGTGATGGGGAGAGGCAGGGTCTATACCTCAACATTGTTTAAATAATTCAAGGCAAAAAGAAACCCAAAATGGGGTGAGGTGAGCCTGGAGGGATCTAGTTGTCCCATGGTGTACAGGGACAGACCTCCTTGGGGACAATCACTGATCCTGCAGAGGAGAAGAGAGGGCTGGGAAGCAGGTACTTACTGGCGATGCTATTAGCCAGGGTGAAGTCCAACTGGATAAGCATGGTATTCAATACAGAGCACACCTGACATAAGGACAAAGATAGGAGTTAGGCAAAGTGGCACCTGTGGGTAGACCCTGGGAGCAGCAGCATCCCAGGATAGATTATCTGGGGGGATTTTCTAGGATTTTCTAACATTTTTCTATGTCTCATAGTGTTTTATTCTAAACAATCCCACAGGTGAATGCTCACACAGCCACACTGGGCAGAAGGAGAAACTGAAGTG